TGGAGGAATCGGAACATTTCTTCGATTGCAAAGCGCCTGTGATATTACCTCAAGTCGTTCGGGAAGAATGCACATACACAAGCACGAAGCAAGTACCTTCGTTGACTGCATTATGGTACCATGTCTTCGGAATGCTCCCGTTCGTGTAGAAGAATCATCTTCATACCAACCAGCAACAACGCTTATTCATGCATCTGGCAGCACATCAGATGCAATGCTCATCCGACAAACTCCCGCTCGCATGCGAGAGGTCTTTGCTCCAAAAGCAGTCAGCATTGGCAGTGATTTGTATTCACAAAAGCCTATCCCGAGTGCAGTTTTCTTCTCGTCGATTACAGCGGAAATAGGTTCACCAGGACAAGCAAACTATTCCTGTGCAAATGCAGTCCTGGACACGGTTGCTCAAATCGAGCACACGGCGGGTCGCCCTGTCTGTAGTATTCGCTGGGGAGCATGGGGCAAAGTGGGCATGGCCGTGCGGAACTCACGCATAGAGCAGAGCATGAGTCGATTAGGAATCGGTTTCATCGACCCCGAAACCGCACTCTTTGTGCTTGAAGATGTGTTGTTTGGGTTGAAACGTGGATTGTTGACGTGCGCTGGCGTTGTCACTGTGTTTCGTCCCACATCAATGAACAATACCATATGGGCGGGCTCGCTTCCCGAATCCGGTTCCGTGATCTGCCCAGATTGGACTGGAGCGGAACTCCTCGTGTGTCATAATACACAGGCTTCTTCGATTGGACCAGATTACTCTGTACAAGAATGCGTGAATATAGTAAAACATATTGTCTCTTCACTGATTGGTTTTGATGTTGATACGTGTGTACCACTTCACGACGCAGGTCTAGACTCGTTGTCTGCAATAGAGCTGGCTAGCAAGCTGTCTGCGCAGTTCAAAAGGCAGTTTTTGCCATCGTTAATTTTCGATTATCCCACCATTTCAAAACTGTGTGCGTACATATCAGACAGTCAACCGAGCCGTCATGCAGGCGCAGACATGAAACGTGCGCCAGACATTGTCATGCCCCTCCACACGCTCGCTAATGTGTCGCAGCATCGATGTATGTTATTGGCATCATCTGGCACGTCTTATGGAATCCGAAGGTGCGCAGACGATGCCATCCGCGTCACGCTGGATGACTCTTCAAGAATGCTGGCTTCAAGTGAAGACATGGATCCGCGGTTGAAAATGGGGTGCTTCCTGGATCATGTTATGATATTCGATTGGCGAGTATTTGGCATTGGTAAGGCGGAGGCTATGAGCATGGACCCTCAGCAGAGACTCTTGTTGCACGTTATCAGCTGTATGACAATGCCTGATTGCAGGTCAACGCAGTCTTCTGTATTTATTGGAATCGCCTGGATGGAATACGGAAATCTCACGAGTGCTCATGATCACGATAGCTACAGCTCTCTGAATGCTACCGCACATGCCTTGAGCGTCGCATCTGGGCGTGTGTCCTACACATTTGACCTCACAGGACCTGCCATGAGCATTGATACTGCGTGTTCATCATCCCTTGTAGCGGCGCATCTCAGCCGTCATTCTGTAGCGCACGGTGAATGCGAATCAAGCTTTGCAGGTGGTGTAAACCTTATCCTCACCGAGGCAACAACTGCGATGTTTCTGCGAGCCGGTATGCTCGCACCAGATGGCCGCTGCAAGACGCTCGACACACGTGCTGATGGTTACGTCAGAGCTGAAAGCTGTGACACGTGCCTTCTGCGTGGAGCATCGCATCACAGCAGCGGCGATACACAAGTTAGTGGGACCGCGGTGAACCAAGATGGACGCACGAGCTCATTGACGGCTCCAAATGGACCATCACAGACTAGAGTGATTATGTCAGCCCTCACATGTGCGGCGGTTCAGCCCACCGCAGTGTGCGCTCTCGAGATGCACGGAACAGGAACATCACTCGGTGATCCTATTGAAATAGGTGGGGCGATGTGTATATTGAAGAGCGCAGAACACGTCGAAGTACATGCAATGAAGTCAAGAATGGGACACTCTGAGTGTGCCGCGGGTATGGGGGGACTGATTTGTACTTTGCGCGGGCTTGAATCTCGGATAAACCCGAGTATCATGCACCTGCAATCACTCAATGTGCATGTTTACGAGGCTATGTCTTTGCAGGGCGCTCACGAGAGCTCAGCCGGTATGTCGCGTTCAATGGCAGCCTCAAGTAAGTATGCCCAACATCAAGCTGCTTGCGGCGGCACCAGCTCATTTGCCTTTCAGGGTACAAATGCACACGCGATACTCTCGTCGCTGTCGCACTTGCATGGTACTGGATACAGACCGCATATTTGCTCGTTCATCAAGATTTTTTCCACCGATAAATGTTGGTTCAGAAGCCTGCCACGTGGTACGTGCCTCTCAATGACAGAAATGAGAAAACGGCTTGTCATGGTATGTCATCACTCATCTTCAACACAACTATTTGATCATTGCGTACGCAATAAGCCACTATTTCCAGCAACAGGGTACGTGCATCACATGACCCGGGTGTGCGATGTATGTGAACTAAAGACAGTCGCATTGCGCGATCTTGCAATCATACAGCCTCTGCTTTTGAGGCATCATAAACACATGGAAGCTACCGTTCACACAATCAGTGGCGTTCTGACGGTGCAAACTGCTAAAAGCGTGCACTGTCAAGCTAAGTTACAGTATCCAGCTATCGCGCGAACTGTAAGTCTGAGATGCGCGCTAATCCACAATACATCTTCCGCACAATTCCAACACGCTCATCATGGTACAGGTCAGGGTCAACTGGGAAGTGCGTGCGCCAAAGTCTGCAGTGCTTCATCAGCGTTGCATTCCGAGGATGGAATACCTGCCATCATCGATACCGCACTGCAACTCGGTACTGGAGTCATAGATCAACTGGGCACGTCCAAGAGAATGACTATGTTACCAACAACCATGAGGGCTTGCGGCAAACGTTACATGAAAACGACGAGAATGTTGGCACTTCAAACAAACTATTTGGCATGCAGCATGAAACCCAAAAATGAAGAGAAAGTTGGTCATCATGTAATCGGTCACATTAAGTTGCAAGAGGTGAAATCGAACAAACTACGTGATAAAATATGGAGGAGAAGCATTTGTTTGTACTCGACGAACGCTTGTTACGTGAAGCGTGCATCACAGCTTGTAAAGTATCCAAGTGCACACAGAATGCGCATGAACGTGCAACTCAAAGTAATGCCACGTATAAGACTTGCTTCAGCTATGATCGAGCTTGCACACGTTTATATTTTAGCGCATGTTCGCATTCAAGTAGATGAAGTCAAGTTCAAGTCTATGGATTATCTTGCAGCTTTACTGCGATGCGCTGACTCAGAAAACTCTCGTCATGTTAGGCCCCTGGCTGATCACGACAATGGACAGTCGTTCGATTCTGTTCACGTGCCGTCACTTGAGGGTGCGAGTCATCAAAACCTAAAACAACTTCAACATCAACTGCATCTGTGGCAACAGAATAATGACAAAGAGAGTCGTTTTGAGCGTGGAAAAAGTGCACTTGTATCTTCTTTTATGAAAAGAACATCAGCTGAGCACAACGTGGATTGTCGGCTTCGTGACATACGCGCGCATATAATCACGGGAGGAACGGGAGCTGCTGGGCAACTCACTGGTGCGTTTGTCCAAAGTCGTGGTTCCTCAATCGGCATGATACTTCTGGGACAAGTCGGACGAACTGCACATTTACTTCGTCAGCATCGGAGCTGCTCGACTTGCGTGTCGCTTGTCCGATCACGCACACATGCAAATTTACATCCGAAATATGCTTCGTTCGAGCGTTCGTGCATTATTCATGCATCTGGCAGCACATCAGATGCAATGCTCATCCGACAAACTCCCGCTCGCATGCGAGAGGTCTTTGCTCCAAAAGCAGTCAGCATTGGCAGTGATTTGTATTCACAAAAGCCTATCCCGAGTGCAGTTTTCTTCTCGTCGATTACAGCGGAAATAGGTTCACCAGGACAAGCAAACTATTCCTGTGCAAATGCAGTCCTGGACACGGTTGCTCAAATCGAGCACACGGCGGGTCGCCCTGTCTGTAGTATTCGCTGGGGAGCATGGGGCAAAGTGGGCATGGCCGTGCGGAACTCACGCATAGAGCAGAGCATGAGTCGATTAGGAATCGGTTTCATCGACCCCGAAACCGCACTCTTTGTGCTTGAAGATGTGTTGTTTGGGTTGAAACGTGGATTGTTGACGTGCGCTGGCGTTGTCACTGTGTTTCGTCCCACATCAATGAACAATACCATATGGGCGGGCTCGCTTCCCGAATCCGGTTCCGTGATCTGCCCAGATTGGACTGGAGCGGAACTCCTCGTGTGTCATAATACACAGGC